CCTGAAACAACGGCAGGCATCTTTTCTTTGGGCATTCTTTTTTTTATTTGTTTTTGCATATTTGTTTTGATAGAAGAAATGTGTTTTAAATGGACTTGGGGGACTTTTTGTGAATGACCTGCAGGATTGGAGTCATGAGAAGTGCTTGCTCTGTCCTGAAGTAGATAGCTGTCTGTGTGGCCTCTGTGTTGAGGAGTGCAGTTGGAAAACAGGGTTGCTTAACTACTACAATGTTCTCATTGAGTCCTCCAGAGTTCACCTGTGTCATACATTATTATAATTGAATACCATCGTCTGGTAGTGGTATTTGTTAGTTTGTCAATGCTAATCAACATTTTCACTATTTGATGTATTAATTCAGCTGGTGAAATGGAGTCATCAACTTGAATGCTATCCTAACTAAATGAGTTGGCTGGATCCAGTATATTGTTTTGACCTACACAGTTAACATAGATTTCTAATTCTATCTAGATCTTTTTCCATACTAGGAACAATGATGAGTCCTTTATATCCCTTTCTCAAATTTTTGATGAGCGGTGAATACTATCAATTTTGTCTTTCTCTAAATTTTCAATAAGAAATTTGAGGCCTTCCTCTAGGTAGGCTAGAAGCATTTGAGTTACTGTGTATTCGTTGGTTACCGGGTTTTGCTGTGGTCTTCTTTGGTTATAATCTCCAAAAGTTTCGACTGCAACTACAGCAGTCATCTTCAGTGGCGTGGTCAAAGTACTCTTATTGCCAAGTCAACTGTTTCAGTCGAAAAGTTTGGAGATGATAACCAAAGAAGACCACGACAAAACCCGGAAACCAACCAAAACATTCACCTCAGCCGTTAAAGCCTACATTCGTATATTACTATGTATTTTTTTTTTCACCAGGTATTTGAACAGTTTAGGGATTTCAAGGGCATTGACCATATGTACGAAATCCATTAACCAGAATATCTTAAGTGACTCTTTCATCAATCACCTCTTTGAGCAATTTTGGGAAATCTTTCTTCTTCAATGTTGGGGTCTCAAGGTTGTTGATTCTCCAACCACGAACTTTGTTCGTCCAGCCCCCTTTCAAAGTTCTGAAGACACTTACTTCTAATGGATGCAGCAGATCTGTAGCATTGAGATGAAGCACCACCAAAATAATACCATGAGTGTCACAAAATTTGCTTGTCTGCAAACTTAAATGTGAAGAATGGCCATCTCTGAACAATATAATAGGTAACATGATTTGTGTTTCTACCAACCATGGATGATATACATTGGCAATAAATTCATAAAAGGCTTCAAAAGTAATCCAACTCCAGTCGGTCTTTCCAATCACCCATTCTACTGAGGAACCTGTTTGTATTCGAAAAGAACTGTTGTAGGAGCAACAAGCCCACTTGCACAGGCTGTTAATAAAACAGTTACACATTCCTTCTCATCTGCCTTTACTTATTGATACACCATTTTTTCACCTTTTTTTAGTCAGCACTCTGTTTCCCTTGAGGTCAGGAAGAAAGGCTGTTCTGTCGCAGGTGAAAACTCGTGAGGGATCATGTCGAGTTGGTTTTGTTTTAAATATTGTTGTACTTCAGAAAGCCAGTTATGTATATTAGAACTAGTAACGGCTGCTCTTGAAGTAAGGTTTTGGGATACTGGTAGAGATATATTTTTGTTTAGCTTCAAAAAAGATTTTACCCAGTTCTTGCCTGGAGTACCATCTTTGAAGGGGTTCGGACGTTGCATTTCTTTAATAACTTTCTCTACATTTGTTATTGATTGCTCAACTTTGACTGAAAATCCAGCTACAGCCATTTTCACAATTCACTGGCAAATTATTTCTTCTTCTGCTTTGGTTAAAATTGAAGGTGATCCCATCTTCCTGGGTGAATGCTTCATCAGCA